GAATCAAGAGTAGCCGAGGATGGAGCCATATGGGCTGTTGCACCAGAGTCCACGTACCAATCCGGACTAGAGTCATTTAGTCTGCAATCGGCGTTAAACGCCTTAGCCAAATTTGCAGTCAAATTGGAAGAGTTTTGGGCATAACTTCCCAATTCTGGACAAGATGTGGCATAATGACCTTCATGCTGACATAACTGGCAATGAGGTTGTCGTCGAACACGGCCTCGAGAGGAAGAAGTGCCTCGATAAATTGACCGTCTAGATCTGCCCTTTCCACGCGAAGGCTGCGGAGAATGACGAGCAGTAAAAGCGACGGGAGAGGGAGCAGAACTGTGTAGCGACGAAACAAACAACTCGTGACCCTCAGCTTGAGCAATAAGATCACGAAAAGAAGGTCTTGGTTGGACAGCTCGGTGGGCAGTAGRAAARGTTTCAAATGACGGTCCTAAGCCACATAAGAACCAATGGCTCTTGTCCATGTYGGGAACCGGTTGACCGATGGCTGCAAGTTGATCACAGATAGACTTGAACTGTTTAGCAAAATCAGAGACAGAGAGATTACCCTTTTTGAATTGGCGGAGAGAGTCTTTAAGATTCTGAGATCGCTCCATAGAATCATGGCTATAGGCCGCTTCTAAGGCTTGCCATACAGCACKAGAAGAAGAGAGACCCAACACTTCTGCCATTGCTTCTTCGGACAGAGAAGATTGAAGAATAAGAAGCACTTTCTGATCGGTTTCAACCCAAGAGAGATAGGCAGAATTTTGGGTTTCTTTGTCGTTGACCAGAATAGTTTTTGGAGGAGCGGGATACGAACCATCAACAAAACGCATCCACTTTTGATGAAGCAGCAGCGGGTTAATCTGATTTCGCCAGAGGAGATAGTTGGAGGAGGTTAGTTTGATGGTGAGCATATGAATGAGAGTGTTCATGGGGAGAGAAGAATCGGTGGAGGCCATCGGAGATGAAARGAAAAGATCGAAGAAGRGGCAATAGAKGCAAAGGGTTAGGAGAGGAACGAGATTAGGCTGATACCATATGAWATTAAGAGAAATATTCCCCTTGATTATGATTGACAATTGAAGGAGTATAAATACAAAAATACAACGTAATTATAGGAATTATACAAGGTAACTTACAACTAATTTGACTAATCAAATAAACTAATTAAGGAGAGGATTTGTCTCCAATAGTAAGATCTTCTGATGCTATGGTTCAAAACTCTGATCAGCTTCAGTTCCCTCTCGTATGTTCTAGTAAAATGGCAGACCCAAGTAGATTATACCAACCAATTCTAAATTACAAGACGTGACAACTTCTCAATGTTTATAAGTTCTCGATTTCTGCCTAAGTTGTAAGTTTGAATCAAGATTATCCTCAAGAAAATCTCATGCAACCCATTGACATTAGGATCGAAATATTGCTTAAGAGAAGCAATCTCTTACGCGATCGATCTCAAATTAATTCTTATCCTGGTTTTGTTGTGATTTCTCACGACCCCTTGTATTCCTTAACGGTTCCACAAAACATGAAAAGATGGCTGTAGAAGTTCTACAAAGCAGGGAAGTAATTTATGAGGATACAGACATCTAGTGTTTGGTGCAACATCGAACTAGAATTTGTACTTCTTCGCTGTCCAGAGACTAAAGAGATTTGGAGTCGTTTAGTATCATGGTGGAAAATTATTTGGGCGACTCGGTAGTCGCTAGTCCTTTTTTTAGTTCATTACAACAAAATTAATTTTATAGGACGCCTAAAATGTAGAAGTATCCTAAAAAAAAATACTTTATAGGACCTAAGTTTATATAGGACTAAACCAAAAAGTATCCTAAAAAATTACTTTATAAAACTAAGTTTATAGGATCAAAGTCCTATCTAAAAGTGTTACAATAGTTTTATATAATCCTTTTTGGCGTTTAAACAAGTTTTTTAGAACGCTTTTACAAAAATGTCTTAGTTAGCTATATTTTATACAATAGTATTTGAAAAAAAATGTTCTATAAACACAAATATTTTATAAAAAGATGTGTTTACAGAACAATTTTCAAAAGTGTCCTAAAATAGCTAATAGATTTTTTTTGATTAAACTGGGTATCCAACCCGCTATGCGAGCCGACTAATCCCAGGGTGACCACCTGCTTTGCAGATAGCCCGGAGTCAACGCATTTGAACCTCCATGGCCACAAGAGAATTTTTATTACTCATTGGATTTGAACCTGAGACCTCCTGATACTTTTGACCTTTAGATAAGCACCACCCTTGTGGTTACTAATAGAAAATTTATTTTAAAAGCATCGTAAACAACTTGTTAAAACGCTTAAAAACGTTCTATAAACCTATTGTGATGCTTTTAGATAGAACGCTTTATATATAGTTTGGTTTTATAAATCTAAGTTTTATAACATATTCTATTAGGACGCTTAGACAATCTAGGTCTCTTACAAAACCAATATTGTTGTAGTGGTCACTCCTGTTTATCCAAGATTGATTCAAAGATTTTCAACCATTGCTGTGAAAGTTTTGGGCAGTTTATTATATTGGATCATGTCCCTTATGGTTGTTGTGGAATTCAAGAGATCGACGAAGCCATTTTCAATGATTTACCGTATCTCTGGGCACAGTTACGTGGTTGCGTATTGTTACTAATTAGATGTATAGAAAACACAATAAATGAAGATAATTACTAGGAAGTATTGCAGGCTTCATCAAATGTCTGATAGTGCAAACTTCAGAAGGCATGTTGAGTGAAAATTACCTCAGGTGCATGTGATATTTAGTCATGTGTAGGATAGTTTATACTTTATAGGATATATATCTTCCTCAGCTGGTTAAATATATAAAATTAAAGTGGTTACAGTACAGATGAAAATAAGGTAATAGGACTTATGGCAGCTAGCTAGAGTGATAAATTTTATAGTATTGTACTCATGGACATAATTCCTGAGATGGTTCAAGTCCAAGATCACTGAAACTGTAGTTCAAAATCTGCATCTATACTAATAACTGAGAATCTAATATATGCAATCACTTAATCTACAATGCCACAAATTCCAGGAGCTAAGATAAACAAGGAAGCAGAAAAATCCAGTTATATTTGAATTAAGATCTGGCCTGCCGTTTGTGTATTTGGTGCCTTCAGTTAAAACTGGAATCTTGATGAAATAGTTAACCTTATGGAAAGTAAAACGTTTCCCCTTGAACACAACACATTACAAGATAACCACAATGAGTTTATGATTTTCTTATGAACAAAATTCAATTAGAGAAATATGTTCCATAGTGTTCTTATCAGGTATGCGGTGAAGGTTGCTGAGGCCTTGTTTCGCGAGGAAGCCCCATGGTTTGTATCCCTTGTGAGTTGTGATGAGGGTCCAAGAAGTAAGCTCCCTAGAAGCCACCCCAGAATCCATTATAACTAGAAGGTCCTTCCCAGCTTTGTCCACTCCCGAGTCCTCCCCAATCTCCAATACCTAGTCCTCCCCAAGATTGGGTTGCTTCAGGTATACCTCCTAACTTTGAACTGTCTGAACCCTGTGTCTTCTTGGTTGACTGAAGGTCAACAGGCATGACTGGCTGCACTGCCTGTGGAGTTTCTGGGGCTGTATCATTGTTCACCGGCAAGGTCAGATCTTGATTCTGCTTTGGTCTCCAATATCCGACTGTGGGTGGCCTTATCCTTGTTGTCGAATTTTGGGTAGCTTGTACCTCCCAACCATCAGAAGTCACCACCCTTTTTCTGTTCTGGAAGGAATTAATGTTCATATCTTGCTGATTTCTTCTTTCTTTAGGTTTACTAATCATAACCGATTGTACAGTATTTCTAGAAATACCAGCATCGCCAAACAAAGATTCTTTTAGGTCGGATTCGTTAATGTGACCATTCATGAATGAACTAAGACTGCGAATGGTAAGCACGATACGACCATAAATTACGTCAGCTTCCTCGCTTCCAACCGCTCTTGCAACATTTTGAGTGTGGTCTGTAAAATCCTCAACCTGTGCATTTATTCATTAGAATAACCATATACAGAAATGTGATTAAAAAATTATAAATGATAATGAAATAAATAGAAAAACCAGGAGGAAATTTACACTTATGCTGGCAATTCTAGTCCATGTTTTAGATATCCATCTTCCATGATATGGGCTGGCACATAAACCTTTCGGCCATATCTTTGCAACAGATGCCAACTGCAACAACCACTAATCATATGAAACATCGGATACTGAAAGTGTAGCCTCAGTATATACCAAAAATAGTTATATTCATAAGATTTTACCTTTATTAGGAATGAAAAAAATAGCTCTCCCAATGATTCTGTATTTCTTCTTCCATAGTTCTCAAAACGTTCAACATATTTTTTAACCATTTCAAGATCTTCGCCATCTGCAATCAACACTTCCCAAAACGTGTGAAGGCAAAAAAAAATGATTTCTTCAATGAGACATGATACATATATTATTGTTACCTCTTTGCAAGGCATGATGATCACTTAGTATTATTATTTATAGAACATTACCTTTTAATATAGCAGAAAATGGAGGCAAAATCGGAGGCTCTCGAGTCTGCAATGTATAGCAACAAAGAGTAACAAAAAAACTACAGAAAAGAAATATCGTAAAGAGTAGTTTTGTTCTACAGTTTACCTGCAGATGAAGAGTAACCAATAATACTATAGAAAATGAGCTAAGGGTTCGATCTTTTGGGCTATTAACACCATGAGCTTTTGCCCAAGTTTTCATCTGCAAGATATATAGGTATTATTCATGAGAATTATGGGAACATAGATCTATGACTGATAGATCCTATTGGAGCAGCCCAGAGAAACTTACCAAGATACATAGCTTCTGAAATCTTTCATCTAGTGAAGAAATCATGTAAATAATTTTTGACTTGGAAATTCCATCCCTGTTCTCAACTGAAAGGTCACATTCTATGCCACTTGCAACATCAACAACTTTAAGGACAGGCACCTTTGCATTCAAAATAGGCAGGATGTCAGAAACAAGCCCTTCATCTACATCACAAAATGGTCATAAAACAAGTATCAACCATTAGGTAGGCCATATATGTATATACAAACTTTAAAAGCGAAATGAACTAACATACAATATAATTTTAAGATGATCATCCTACTAGCTTGAAAACTCCTAAAAACCAATATGATAGAACCATAGACTACAATAGAGGGGTACAAACCAGTCTACAACATTCGTACTTATGCGCCTTACTACTGCTCCATGCATGGTAAAAATTCTGGAAAAGGGTACTAGAAAATGGAAAGATACTCATATAGATATACCTAAAAAATTTATGCAAAAGAAAAGAATATATAAAAGGAAAGGAATCCAATCCTAATGCACAAATATATCCAAAAGTCAGTAAAATTTTGACTTTTAACAGTATTAATATTTTTAAGATAAAGGTAAGTATAAAATAAGAGGAAAAAGAGAAGTTCATTACATAAAAGAAAGGATAAGAAAGACCTAAAGAGAAAGGGATAGAAAAAACTGAAAAGAAAAACAATGACTTCTTCATCTCTTATTAATAAAGACTTCTAACCACAAGGATGATGTCTGATTGGTTTGAACTTGGCTCAAAAGGTCAAAAGTGCCTGGAGGTCCCAGGTTTAAATCCAAGGAGGAATAATAATTCCGTTGTGGCTACGGAGGTTCAAATGCGGTGACTCCGGGCTACCCGCAAAGCACAGATGGTCACCTGGGATTAGTCGGCTCGCATAGCAGGTTGGATATCCAAGTTAATAAAAAAAGGACTTCTAGGTTTTCTTTTGCTTTAAAGTGGCTCCAATGATCATGTTTTGTTGGAATTCTTCTATATATATCACCAAATGAAGTGTCATGTTAGGTTCTTTATGGACTTCAATGATATTTTCGTCAGAACTTCAGCCCATTTGTCAGATAACTCGTACGTTTTCTCCGGTTCATTTTCTTCGTAATTCCAGTGGTGGGGGTGTTAAATTCAAATATATCCAGAGAGATATATGTGATGGAAGAAATTTCTTGTCAAACTAGGATAACTTAACATTGATGGATTAGTACAATACAATGGAGTTTAAGAAATCAAGTGATCAGCTGGAGGGCACACTGTTAGTAACAGTTGGGTCCCAAAGGATTGGATCTAAGCCGAGGGAATGGTCTGATCATGAGGAGCGAGCTCTAAGATTTAATCAGCGAGGAGAGGGTTCTAACACTTCTAGTATTCTAGAAGTCAATGCCGTCCACACTTGATAATTGTCATCAACAGCTCAATATTGCACAAAACTAACAGGTAATGGAAATGATGGACAATGGAGTTATTTAAAATATTCTTGCACCCCTGTGGTCCATATATGTCTGTTTTACCAAAAAAGGGAAAACAACTATCTTTCCATGCATGAAGAATGAGAGAAGTTTTGCACTAGCTAGTCACAGGAGAAAACAATGAATCACAGTTATGACATCTAAGATATGGGCATCTCAATCTACAAGGCTTAAAACTAGTCAGTGCTAAAGGTATGGTGTATGACACCAAAAATCGGACAATACAAGAGATTGTTTCCTATAGAAGTGCCTGGTGAGCTTTACATTTTATTTATTTAGGGCATGTGGAGACTTAGTAGTTCTCCACAGTATGGCAGTACGTAGTTATGCCTTATTATTAGCCTAGTTTGTTTTGTTTTGGACTATAAGTTAGCTAGCTTTTCTCCATGTCTAGATGTAAAAGTCCATTCAGTAAAGCTTATTTTTCCAATTGTTCCATTTCTTAACTCTATCATGACGGACAACTATTTCCTAATTGGAGTGTCTGTTGCAAAATCAATCTTGAAGCAAACGACCATATTTTCCTCTCATAGCCTTACGCTCAGCAGATGTCACAGTTTCTTTAAGGAATTTTAGGCGCTCCCCTAGCTACTCGATTGGCTCCAGTTCTCCTTGTATCATCCTTTGGCTCTTGAAGAAAGCCTGAAAGATCTTTTAATGCTTTTTTGGAGCATTAATTCCTCGGGGATATCTAGGGGATCAGAGAAATACTAGAATTTTCTTACACTCAGAACATTCCCAGAAATATATGATTTTCTCAAGGACAATCCGTTTAGAGGAGGATTGATGATAACTGCTAGCTAGGGGATCATTATCGTATAACCAAAGAGGATTTCATTGTCCTAGACAGCTAGATGTAGGTTTTTGGTTCTATTCCTTTGTTCCACGGGCAAGTCTTATGCCCCCATTTTTGTATCTTTTGCTTTCCCTATTATTCATATAAATTTTCTTAGTGCATCCTAAAAAAAGCATAGTCTAAAAACATGGTGAGCCAAAGCTGACAGTCTCTACATGAATCAGTATGATGTAGTATTAGGATATAGTTTTTCTCATCATTTTTAATTATTTGCAGCCTTTTTTACTGTATATGAGATAGGTCTCTAGGCAGTCCAAAAGTGAATGTAACACAATGAAGAAGTTAAGAAATAAATAACTTCTTAGAGTGCTCGCATTCGTGTCATGAAGTGGAAGTGATCTTGTTTATAAGATGCATTTGCTAGGTCAAATCTAAATCAATCATGGCATGCCTTCCATCTATAGTTTTCATGAATTCCTTCCATCTATTTTCATGAATTCCGTTCGAAAGTTATTTTGTACTTTTTGAAACTTGAAGTTTACTTTAACTCTCTATTCTAGTAACTTTGATTTGGTATGTTGCTTTGACACAAATAAATGGTTGCATTCCTAGTAATACTCTATATAGAAATTGTGGTAAGATAAATTATATTTCTACCACTAACTTGTTTAAACGGTATAGATTTCTGCAACTTAATCGTCAAAGAATGTGTCCTCTTTTCATCTTATGCCTTGAAGATTTCTGCAAAAGAAAACCAAGTGGTTTCCAGGAGGAGGTAAAAGCATTATATTGAGGCTGAATGAAAATGTTTTGAGCCATATCAGATTAATGAAGCACTTAATTGAATAGTTCTACTTGGGTAATTGAGCTTACTGGAGTTCCTTTGTATTGATGATAGGACTCCAAAGACATGTAACGACATTTTCAATATCCAATAGGTAGATTTTTTAATATACAATAATGTAATAAACAAAAAGGGTTAGAACTAAAGTAGCTATAAAACGTCACCTTTAAGTGCATACATCTTCTTCTTGAACCTTCGAAGCGTTGCAATAACCTGATATCGCGAAGACACATTTGCACTGTTGCGAAAGTTGATGGATAGATCTAGATCACTTTCGGAGGTAAAAAGACCCATCGAGAAGGATCCAAATTCCTCCACAGTGGGACAATCAACGCTTTTACCTGAATGAATCAGATACAGATAGGTTTGTCATTTGTAGGTTATGGAAGTTATCGATTTGTGAACACTTACCATATAATTCTCGTGCTATTCTGTTGAATACTTGAACCAATTCCTTGCGTTGTTGATATTCTCTCTGCGTTGGTTGATGAACAGCATATGCATCATCAAGTAGGTGCTCGAACATTCCAAAACGCTCCCGGTTTCCTAAAGTTATATTTTCCAATTCCTTTAACCAGATCTTTTCTTCATTCTCTATAAGGACTGGAATCAAAAGCAGACCAGTGGAAGAATTAACAACCGAAAACTTTGTTATTTTATTAAGGGATGGCTAATTATGAGTTTGCTGCAGTCACTATAATCTCTTTATCTTTTCTCATATACATAACCATATGGAAATACCGAGGCCATTCTTACCGTGCAATTCGTATTCCTCATCACAAGGTCCTGAACACCACATAAAATAAATCAAACTAACTTCTTTGAAAATTAGATGTACAACATTAATGGGGATTGAAAGGTCCTAATACTGACCTTTTTCTCTCAGAGCCATTTTGTGCCTACAAAGTGAGACAATAAAACACCCTCACATCAACAGAAAACAGTTATTTAAAATTTCTTTTATAATGATGCAAGTGAATAACAATTAGTTCAACTATCTTTTATAACGACGTAACAGACGACAAACAACAATTTATCCTACCTTGGTATAGTTCGATCTAGAAAACCTGCAATAGGAAGTAAATTCAGTGATTACCTAAAATAAACATAAGTAAAGCAGAAAACTAATAGAACACATTGTGCATGATGAGGTTTGAACATGTAGACAACTACGTTTCCAGGGTTTTTTCGAGTATAAGGTGAGGAAACTGGCGAGCAACAGAAGGCGACACAAATCAACTTATTCATGTGATCAACCAGTAAAAGGTAACATTCATTCAAATCAACTTACACCACAAGATACACCATAAGAAGCTAGATTCCTTTTTCGATAAGTTATGTGACACAAGTATTTTATTTTTAAGAAAAAAAATGCGAGATAGACGAATACTAGAGAGAATGACACAATATGAAGGTGACTGAAAATAGAAAGAATAACTGATATATGAGTATTAATGGACAAGAACCATCCTAGCTAGGGCTTAACTAGCACCAAATACATAATCTTTTCTGATCAAAACTCTTAAGGATTGATTTCTCATGAACACACAAAAAAAGACAACAAAACACAGAAAAGAAAAGCTATTAGATTTTTGTTGGTTTTGAAGCATTGGTGTAGATCGAGAAGGATGCTTTGCCAGCCCATATGCCATGCTTCAATTTCCTTCCCTCACACATAAATACACGATGATTAAAAAATACACAATGACTGCAAATTTAGAACATATTCACGATCTGATTTTAGAAACGAGAACAAAACACAACAAATAATGCAATCTTGAGCACCGTCAACAGGAGATAGTTCTGTAACTCAATTGCGTGTCTATAAGGAGTAAAATTGTACACACTCACATCGAGTAGACATTCTCTTAATCAAAAACATCTCATCAAATACAAGCTTAATTGAAGTTCAGAATTAGAAATCACATTGAAATCTGCACCATCATTAATTGAAAAGCAAAGAGAAAACAATTCCTTGAGCTAAACGTGTTCTGAAAGAAACAAACCTTAACTTTGATGAAACCCAGAAACTTTTTCTAATCGAGAGATGAATTTGATGGCTAGAAGACTTATCGGAGCTCCTAGAAATGAAACGAGGAGAGGCAATTATCGAACTTTGAGGTTCCTCCTCGCCTTACATGTGAGAAAAGATGCACTCATCACACTGGACTTATGAGCGTTACTAGACTGCAACATAAAATATGAAGAAAAAGGATGGAGCCCACGAAACCACCAAATTTATCCTCATCGCCAGTGCCAATGACGCAAAAAATCCTAAGGTTTGTTGAAAAACAGCTGACTCTTGTAATTTGTTTTCTTCACGGTAATGAACCATACGAATGCACCCTCAAATAATACCAAAGTTTCACTTTTGGTCCTCTGAAAAATAATACTTGTGAAAAATTAGGCACATCACAGTTAATTGATGTTGATTAATTACAGTTAATGAATCAAATCACAAATGTATGTCAAGAAGTGACTACAAACAACATATCAGATTCCGAAAGTTTTGTACCACTTAACATCTCGTGAAACTTTAAGCACTATCCTGCAAATTGTAAAATCCATTCATACACTTGAAGGCCTTTCTAGGAGTTACAAATGATTATTCTAGAACAATTGTTTTTGCATTAAGAATATAAAGTAAATTACATAAATCGTTGCTGTAGTTTGTTGAAACTATATCGGTTACCATTGTAGTTTAATAATTACACCAACACTCACATCCTTTCAAATTTCTTACGCAATTCTTCCCAGTTCCTAATGGACGTTAAGTCCATCTGTTAGGGTGAAGGACATTTCAGTCATATTGTACCTTATTTTATGATATTTTTATTATCATACAAGTTTATAACGTTTTTCAGAAAAATATCTAACGCTATCCAACCTCTCTCAATCCTTGAGGAACCCCGCCCCCTCTCCCCTACTCTAGTGAACCTCACCCCCTTCCCTTTCTCCAGTAAACTTATTCCCCACCACCATTGTGGTTTGCTCAAAATCATCTCCCTCCCTTCTCTAGTAAACCCCGCCCCTCCCCCTCCAAAGAGGTGCCAAAAACCGGACCCATTGCCGTGTTTGAGGCCATCTAGGTTGAACTTTTGGTGTGGGTTTCGATACAAGTGTCCTCTACAATTTTGATCAAATTCATTGTGGTTTTTATTTGAATTTTTAGTGTGGAATTTTATAAAAATGGATTTAGTAGTGTTAGTCATGTTCTTTATTTCATTCAACATTTTGAAGAACTTCAAGTGAAATCGAAGGAGGGGCACTTGGTACAATCCCAAGTCTTGGATGCCACTGACAACAGGTGAGCCTTGGTGAAGCTTTTCCGTGGCATCTGGAGAAGGAGTTGCCATTGAAGCAGAGCTTGAGGTTGGGGCTCAAAGTAGTATAGCTTGAGATTAGAGCTCAAGGGAGTAGAGAATGGGACACCCACTTAATTTTTTATAACTCTAAGAAGTATGAGTGCGTATAGGTGGAGGTGGAGATGAATAATGGTCGGCATCGTATGGGAGGAAGATGAAGACAATGGTCGTCTAATGTGTGTGTTGTGATATAATACATATATAATATAATATAATACAATATAGATTAAACTAAATTTTAGGATCCTGTGCTTATCTGGTTGGTTTCTTAGTTGATTCACAATTGGTTTATCCAGTTGGTTTCTCCGGTCGGTTTCTCGGTTGGATTCTCCAGTTCATTTACATGGCATCAATGTCGTTGAGTTAAACTATGTGTGCATAGTATAACATGATACATATTAGTATCATATATAATATAACATATAAGTATATTATTTAATAATAGAAAATTGGTGAAAATGGAAAAGAACTAAAATGCCCCTCATCTAATGGCTAAAAGTTGATAGCCATTAGTGAGAGGGACCAAATCTGAATGTTCTTGAAAACCATGATGACCAAATTACAGTTTTAAACCATGGGAACAAAAACGAGGAAAGCAAAAAAATAAACCGGACCAAAAATGTAGTTTACCCTATAATATAATATAATAACCTTACTTAAAGGCTAAAAGTGGATAAACGTTAGTGAAAGAGACCAAATATGAACGTTCTTGAAAACCACAATGACCAAATTGTAGTTTTTAAAACATGGGAACCCAAAACGAGGAAAGCGAAAAAATAAACATGACCAAAAATGTAGTTTACTCTATAATATAATATAATATAAAATTAATAATATAAAATAAAATAAAATAATTTAAAATAAAATAATATAATTGATATAATATAATATATTATAATATAACATAAAATAACATAATATAATATTATAGGATACGATACGATACGATACAACACGATACGATAAGATAGGATACGATACGATATGATACAATATGATATGATATAATATACAAATTTGGTTCGATGGTCTTTGGTTTTCTTGTTTTGGTTCTTAAAGACCATTTAGACTTGATTATACCGTTAATCCATGTGGTTTGCCACAAATCTAATATTGTCCCTCACACTCACTATCTACACACCGATGATCTATGCCTTTTAATTTTATAGCACCCATGGTTCTTCAACTTAACACCATTGAATTGAGATATATAGTCACCCCATGTTCCCCTCATCTGAGGAGCATTCCTTTTTCTACACTTGATACATTTTCTAAGTTAAAAAAATCCAATTCATATTAAAATCTCATGCATATATTGAACATTAAGAACCCTAAATTAGAAAGTAAAATCAAAACATTGAATTACTATACAAAATCACAAATGTAAAGATTGAGTCAGAAATTGAATAGTTTTCTATTGAATAAAAGTGCAAAGATTGAATACAATAACCATAAGAATGGTGTCTGATTGGTCTGAGCTTGGCTCCAAAGGTCAAAAGTGTCTGGAGGTCTCAGGTTCAAATCCAAGGAGGAATAAAAATTCCCTTATGTCCATAGAGGTTCATATGCGGTGACTCTAGATGACTCGCAAAACAGGTGGTCGCCCTGAGATTAGTCGGCTCGCATAGCGAGTTGAATATTTAGGTTAATGAAAAAAAGAGATTGAATACAAGACAACACACAATCAAACCCTAAAACTCAAAATCAACTTTTAAAAATGCTTCCAGTGTACGAGCTACTGCTTCTTCATTGGTTCTTTGTTCTTGATTCGATCGATCTATTGCTTCTTCTTTTCCATTCACCATTCTTGTTGCCATCTATTGCTTCTTCTTTTCTGTTCACCATTCTTAATACCATCTATTGCTTCTTCTTCGTTCCATCCATCACAATTGTTGGTCTCAAACATTTGATTTGATAATAACACCAATACATCTGATCCGATACTTATAAATATTCTTAAAATCTTGTGCTAAGAAAAAAACAATTCAAATTGAATCTTATAACTGAATTGTACTTCATATGGATTTGTTAATTGGATTTGTAATCTAGATTCGATAATTGGATTCATCATCCGGATTTATCATCCGTGTTTTTTATCCGGATTTGTTTTCCTAATCCTTCATCCTGATTTATCACTTGAATTTATCCTTGATAGATTCTAATTCATGTAAAG